CAAGGCAGGAGAACAAATGCGCAACGGCATTTCTTAAGCCAATGTACGGTTTCTGTGCAGTATTCCCTTCAGATTTCTCCCACTAACATTTGGCTCTGAGGTTGCCAGTCTGACGAGCCCCCCAGCCGCGGCCAGCTGCCGAATTTCACCGGTGCCCAGCCCCTCATTCCCAGCAGCGAAGGGCACAGATCCGCCCGGGGCTCTGCAATCCGTCAGGTCCCGTCGGGCTGCAGCCCGCTGTCCCCTCAGTGTGCGGGATTGCCTCCGCGATGAATCGCGGCGATGTTATGCGGGGCTGGGACGGGTGATGCCGAGCGGGTGTTGCGGAAGCCCGCGGAGCTCCTAAGCTCCTGCCTCTACGGGCGGTCGTGAAACCCTCTCGCCTTGAGCGGGCTGTTAAAAACAACAACAAATATCAATCGGAATGAAGCAGGGGACCAGTGAGACACCGAGAAGCACCAGCGGAATCGGATGGCAGATCGACGGACGGTCACTTTTTCTTTAAAATACATAAGTCTTTTAAATAAAAAATAGAATAGTAATAACAAACCCACGGCGCGCAGCCCGAGAACCTGCAGGCACCGGCCGGACTATCGGGGTAGAACCTCCTGTAAGAAACTCAGCCCCGGCCCCGACGCACCGCTCCTCCCGCCCCACTGCAGCCTGGGGCAGCCCCCGGCGGCTCTGCATGGTGCCGGGAAGCGGCGAGGAAGCGGCAGGGCAGCTCCCGGGGCGGGGGCGAAGGTGCCCGCAGCGCCCGGAGCGCAGGGAGCGGTGAAGCTTTGCCCCGTGGTTACGCTGCTAGAGGAATCATTGAATGTTAGTCTGAACGACGGCAACTGTTAATCCGTTCCTCGCCGCGGGAACAGCACCGCGCCGCTCCGTGCTGCCTTGCGTGGAACCTTGCGCTGGGGTTCCGTATTGCTCGGTACCTCCAGGGGGAGCTGCAGCACCGCGGGCCGCCGCCGGGCGCGGAGCTCAGGGCGGCCCCCGCAAACCGCGCTGCCGTCGGGGCCGGTCCCGAGCTTCGGACGGGGGAAGGCGCGGGGCGGGAGGGGCCGTCCGGGTGGGCGCGGGGCGGCGAGGCGGAGGTTGCTGGCATCCTCGACGTTCGACTCCCCTGGGCGCCTGCGGACGCAACCAGACCCCGGTGGAGCGGCCCCGACGGTGCCTCTCCACTGCCGGCAGCCGCGGGTCCCCTCGAGCTCCGGTGGCTGGGAGGTGCCCGGCCCCGCACCTGCAGCCCGCAGCCGCCGCGTCCCAGGCCGGGGCTGTGCGGAGCCGGAGAACTCTCGGGGCGGCGTGTGACCCCGCACTCGGTGCTTGCCCCGGGCCGGCAGCGGCCCGACGAGATGCGGCCCGGGAGGTCTCTCTGAGCCGCCTCGTTCTCCTCTGCTATTCCGTTTGTTTTGAGGCTTTTTCGTTCTTGGAGGTTCGGTTTGGTTGGTTTGGTTCGCTTAGGTTCGTTGTGTGTTTTGTGCTTTTTCCCAACTAGCGTGGCTCATTTTAACTCGCTGTAAACACGCTGTAAATTGCTGAAAACGCGAAGTCCCCACACCGCAGCGGCCCTAAAGAGCCGCGGGAAGGCATCCAAGATAACTGCGGACCCCGCGACAGTGTCAGTGTCAGTGACAGCGGCTCCGGTTCGACTGCCCCGCATAGCAAGCGCCGGGGATGGTCCCTTCTCCCCAAGCCCCGGCCCGGAGCGTCGCCGCTTTGCCCACAGCACGAAGCGCTATCACTACGGGGCGGCGGGGCAGCAGCTGCGCGTTTTCGCGGTGGTTCTGTAGGAATGGGAACGAATCCCGGCCCGAGCGGCCGTCACGCCGCGGGGACTCTTCCAAAGTCGCCACCGCCGGCTTCGTTCCCCCGTCTGTTTCTCGTTTTTGCGTGAAATAAGAAAAAGTTCCCAGCGCGGCCGTCGCGGGTGTCTTCATTTCGGCGCGCTGAATTCATCGCCACGCACCGCACCTGGAGACGTTCTCGGAGCTGTTCGCCTACACCATTCCTCCGTACAGCTTTCCATACCCCTCAGAGTCTCTCTCCGTTCTCCTCCCACGACACATCACGAATCCCCCCCGTTGGGGACCGAAGCAGCGCACAGACCAAGATAACGTTATTGCTAAAAACTCGGCCGAAATCCGCGCACCGCCGCTATCGGGGACAACGAACGCGACGCTCCTCGGCCCGGAACGCGCGGGGCGGCGGGGAGGCCCCGTTCAACGGCGAATTCCCCGCAGTGACCCCGACCCCCGCAGCCCTCCGCCCGCCCGGGTGCGGGCTGGATGCGGGGCACGGCGCGGCCCGGTACCTCCGCGCCGAACGCGTCTTTCGGCTGCTGAATGCCGGTTAAAAAGCGAAGTAGGGACTGGAAGGGGCGGCCGTGGGTGACCCCGATGTGCGGGCCGCGGGCCCTCGGGAAGGAGCGTTACCTGCGGGCGCGCCTGCTCCCGGGGGTCCACGCTCGGGTCTTTGGGGGCTTTTCTCCTCCGCCGCGGTGCCCGCTCCGGGCTGCGAGGGGCACGGCGGGGGCGGGTTGGGGGTCCGCGCCACGGGGCACAGCGAGGGGAGCGGGGCGGCGGGGAGCTGCGGAGGCCGCGGGGGGGGGGGGGGGAAATGTCACCTCAGGTAACGCGGGGGGCGGGGGGGAAGAGCTGCCCCTTCAAAGCCCAGTTGCTACCCAAACACAAGTAAACAGCGAGGCCGGCGCGGCGGGGCGGGCCGGGGGCGGGCCGTCGGGGCGCGCCGCGGGGTGGGCCTGCGGCGGGCGGGCGGGGACAGCTCTCCCCGCCACTCAGCGCTGTAAATGTGATGGACCGGGCAGGGGGCGGCTCAGAGCGCGCCGAGCCTCGCCGGGCTCGAAGGCAGCAGCGGGCTGCGGGCGGGAGGCGGCCGTCAGCGCCCGGCGCCCCGGGAGCGCCGCGGCCACAGCCCCCCCCGTTCTGCCCTGCCCTGCCCGGCCCGGCCCTGCCCGGCCCTCCCCGCCATGCCCCGGGCCCGCCGAGCCGCCCCGCTGTGGATCTAATGTCCCCGTGAAGGTGCCGGAGGCCCGGCAGGAGCTGCCCGCTGCGGTACGTGAGCGCTGCCCGTCGGCGCGGGGTCGCTTTCAGTTCGCGGCTCAGCGCGGAGTCCCCTCCTTCCGTCCCCGGGTCCCGGAGAGCCCGAGGAGGGATTTGCCCGTGAGTTTTCCACGGGGCGGGACGGGGCCCCGCTCCGCGCTGAGCCCGGCGGTGGAGGGCCGCGATCTGGGCGTGGAGGCGGGGAGCGGGATCCGGGCCTGAAGGGATCCGGTCGGAAAGGCCGTGCGGGCAGGTGGGGAGCGGGCGTGGGGCGGCGGGACTCGGCCGGTGCGCGCTGTGCGGGAAAGGGAAAAGGAAGTGCCAAGGTTTAAGGAACATCCGTTTGGGGTTGGCTTTTCCCCTCTCGCCTCGTTGAAAGTAACCTCAAAATCCCGTTTGCGGGCCGTTTCGATCGGGTTTAATAAAGGTCCCTCCGAGGATGAACAGTGGCGTGTGTACCGTGGCTCAGGCGACGGGTGCGGATCGAAAACTTTGGGCGTTACAACGGGAATGGAGCTGGAAGTGTTGCGGACGGGCGATGGGCTCCGACCCTCGGCACCCAACGCGCGGGGCCGAGGGGCACCGGGCCGGACCCCCCGCAGCGCTGTGCCCGAGCCGGGTCCCGGCCCAGGAGCGCTGCCCCTGAGACTTCGCTTCGGCCCTGGGGGCCGCCGCAACCGGGGAGGGATTTTCCCCGCTCCGCGTTGAGTTGCGCGGCAGATAGAGAATAGGAGCCAAAGCTGCGATATCTCTAATAGACATCTTAAAAAAGACATCCTTAAAAATGAGTTCAGTTTATAAGAACTCTTAAAAAAAAAAAAAAAAAAAAAAAAAAAAAAAAAAAGAAAAACGGAGCGGCTCTAAAGAGCGGCCGTGCCGATACCACAGCCCGCAATCCCGATACGGGAGCGAGCGATACGGGAGCCGGGCGGCAGCGTCGAACCGCGACCCGAAGGGAACGAAAACGGAGCGGGGAGCGGAGCGCTCGGGGCCGAGCGGGGCCGGCAGGGGCAGTCAGGACAGAGAAAGGACAGGGAAGTGACAGAGCGGCGACTGAGAGACATCGCTCTCCCGGCCGTGCGTGCGCGGGGTCGGGCTGCGCGCTGGGAGCGCTTCCTGTATGCGCTGCTGAGTCTGAGGGCTGGTTTTGTGGTTTTTAATTTTGCTTTTATTCTTTATAATTGTTTTTGTAAATATTTGAAAATAATTACTTTAATAATTTTTTTAATAATGATTTTTATAACGATTTTTTACGTTTTCTTTTCGGAAGCCACGCGTTGCCCTCTGCCCGGCTCCCAGGAGGAGCCCTCGGCCCCGCCGCGCACAGGCCCCGTCGCTGCTTTCCTCTCCCCGTCTCGGGGCTGCCGCCGCGGACAGGAGCCCCTCCGTACGCACGGCCCCGGACCCCGCTGGGGCCGCCCGAGGGCTGAGCCCGCTGCCCGCCGCGGGGCTGCCGGGAGGCCTCGGGCCGGGCTGTGTGGGGCGGCCGCGGCCATCTGGAAGGGATCTGAGCGCAAAGTGGATTTATTTAGGACCCGCGGGCGGGAGGTGGGGGGGGCGAGGGGGAAGGGCGGGGGTGGGAGGTGTGCGTGCGTGTGGGGCAGGAACTGTTTTTCTCCCCCTCGATTATCTTGACAAATGACCCGGTGCCGAGGGAAGAAAAATAAGCACCGCGCGGGGAGCAGCGCCCGCCGCCCCCCGCCCCGTGCCTGGGTCGTCGGCCCTGGGGCTGCGGCGGGGCCGGGGCTGCGCGGAGCGGGGCAGCGCGCTGCGGCCACGGGGAGC